GAGGCCAACAATATTATGTCCACATACATTCAATTACTCATTACACTGTTGTCCCGTCACGCCGTGACGATCTTATATATACCAGACCACCCCCAATCTAGCAAATGCTAGGGCACTCCCGAAGGAACAGGATATTTCTAGAAAACGGGTGCCGTGATACTAGTCACGTGACCTCGCTGATGCAACATTATAAATTCAATTAAAAACTTCCTTAACTTAAAGTTATACGACAGAATATTTATAATGTATATAATTCAAAGTGAGTATTTTATTGTTTCTTTAGTTTCAAAGTGAGTATTTTATTGTTTCTTTAGTTTCAAAGTGCGTATTCATAAAAGTATTGAAAAAATAATCTCATTTTATTCTGATACAACAAGGAACAGGTCAATTATTGAGCAAAGGTCACAATTTTACTACCTAAGCTGCTTTCTCATGATGTGAAATTTCACTTACTGGTGCTCCTTTAGGTCCAACAGGTCCTGGACTACCAGTGAGTCCAGGAGGACCTCTAGCCCCAGGAAACCCTTGTATTCCAGCAGGACCTCTGTCACCCTGGAAAAATTAGAGATAAACACATTTATATTTTTACATAGTAGAATAGTATAAAAATGTAAGCTACTAAGGTAGAATGAAATGCTAATGAACAGATGTTTTATTAAATTTACTACTTATAGCCAATGTTTCTTCTGTGCTGCATGTATACATGGCCAGGCAGGAACTGTGCATCGAAAATAAAAGGACAAATTAGTCAGTTGGTAATAGTTTCACATGGAGGACACAGGCCTACAATTTGGGCAATACCATGTCCAAATGTAAGGAAGGGGTACAGGTGCCAACAGCCACTCAAAAACAGTGCTGTTCAGCTGTTTAAAAGGAATAGTTTTTGAAAGTATGGAAACCAAAACTGCCTATGGACAGTAAACAGCTCACAGGAGTTTGTAGTTCACTCAGTATAAAGAAAAATTAGAGTGAGCATTGCAAGTTATAGCTACATAACAGACAACACAACAAGTATATTTCATATTCCTAGTTCGTCTGTATCTTCTTCACCAGTATTGTTCTTTAATAGTTTTTTGAGTTGTATTCAAATGTGATAAATCTAGTCTTTTTATCTGACAAGGGTAGCAGAAGTTTTGTAATATAATATTAAAACTGCATCAAAATGTTCAAGCATGCTAGCTTTGTTTAATGTGAAGTAAATAAAACAATAATATACTAGTTGTTATGGTGTGACCATAAGAGCTAATGTTCTACAGATTACTTATATGAATAGCATTTCAGCCACTACTATGGTTACTGTATTCCAGTTGGCCTGATGAGCTCTGGCAATGAATGAAATGTGGTTGGTAGTGAATATTATACCCTCTTCTTCTTTGAAAAATCACGGGGAAGTGAATGCACTGTTCAAAAATACATTAAGCTTAACACTACTGTCTTATAACAAATATAATTGATAATAATGAACTACTGTTATTCACTACTAGTAATGGGTATACTTCCTGTATTTTAACTTTATATGAAAATCTCTTTGTGCCGGTTTTATATCTAATTCTGTTAAGTTTGGTCAGTAATAGATCTGACACTAATACATAAGGGCTGTAAATGAATTATGCAGTACAAACACACAGTTTTACCTTAATTGCTCAGAACACATTAATCTTATTCTTATGATCAAGTCTATACACTTACTGGTAATCCTATTTCTCCAGATTGTCCATCTTTTCCTGGTGGACCCTTAAAGATAAAAAAAAACATATACGCTGTATTTATATTTATGGCAAATCTACTAAGATTATCTACATGGTCCTAACTTTGATCTACTGACAAGAGGGAAAGCAGCCAGTCTGCAGCATCCTACCACCACCATAAATGATAAGGGACTGGCTTCACTCTTATAACACATCCATAGCTTAAACTGCTTGAAATATTTTGTGGTATTGCACAGATTCAAAAGCAGCTCACCAGCTCTGAAATCTATAGCTCTACCACAGGGCTAACCCAAGCCTTATGTGTAGATATTAAAAACAAATTAAGTTTTGTTTTAAAAAAAAACATTATTTATCAGTATATTATTATGTACAATTCAAACTCCTGAGTTCAAATAATTGTTTCATTAATTATCAAATTAAAGGGAAACATATCTTTCATTACTTGTAAGAGTGGTAAGACTGGAAAAATTCAAACTGTAGGGGTAAAATAACTGATTCATTTCACTAATAAGCAGGCATAAGTTTCATTAACTGTCAGAATTTGGAAAAAATAATAATTAGTTCATTAATTAACAAATTCGAAAAAAACAAAAAATCACTAATTGTAAAGCTCTTAAGAAATCCAAAACACTAGGAATCAAAGAACTGGTTCATTTCACTAATAAGCAGGCATAAGTTTCATTAACTGTCAGAATTTGGAAAAAATAATAATTAGTTCATTAATTAACAAATTTGAAAAAAAAACAAAAAATCACTAATTGTAAAGCTCTTAAGAAATCCAAAACACTAGGAATCAAAGAACTGGTTCATTAAATAACAAATTAGAATATAACACAAATTTCACTAAGTATAAGGCTCTAAAGAAATCCAAAAGCTTAGGAATCAAATCATTAATTAATAAACTAGATAGAAGTGTAATTTCCACTAACTGTAGGATTTTCAAAAACATTCAAAATTCTAGCCAGACTACTGTTTTACAGCTTCCTTGGTAAAAAGTTTTACAGAATTGTATGAAGAGAAAAAAATGGTAACACTGATAGTCATTATAAAATTGGTTAAGTGAAAATTAAAATCCATTTAATTCTTTTTTTAGAACTTTTAACTATTAGAAGAAAGAGAAATATCATGTGCTAAAATAATTTCACCAGGATGATGATGATGATTAAAATGTAATTTTTTAAAAGAAAAAATAACTTGTATAATCACTGGTTCATTTTCCTCTAGAATAACACTTTTTGATTATTTTCCTCTTGTACTCAGTAAGTCTTGTTAGCTAAAATAATCATGTTAGTTATCATGTGCTAAAATAATTTCACCAGGATGATGATGATGATGATTAAAGTGTAACTTGTTAAAAGAAAAAATAACTTGTATAATCACTGGTTCATTTTCCTCTAGAATAACACTTTTTGATTATTTTCCTCTTGTACTCAGTAAGTCTTGTTAGCGTATTGTTTTGATGTGTTTCATCACTGAATGGATTATTTTGGATTAATTGGTAAAAATAACACCAAGTCCAGTCCATGTAACAATAACAAATTGATGTATTTCTTCAATCAAGTTTGCTATAGGCTACATTAACTGGCATGCCAACTTCACAAACAAAATTTAAACATAAATTTGAAAACTAATGTATGCCTAACTTTTTTATAAACTTACTTGCAAAATTTCCTCATTAATCTATTAATAACAGACTCTGAGTAATTCACTGACTAATTGAATCATAGACAAATGGACTCTCACTGTCTAACTCACTAATTGACACAGAACTGAATAACTCATTTATTCACTGACTATGGTATCTATATAGTATTCTTATTCCTACATACTACATAAAACTTCTAGATCCTACAGAGGCCTTAACTTTCAGGAAATTTTCCAGATATTGCATTATCATGACATGATAACATGCTTCCTCTGGCAATAAATTAAAATATTAAAAATATAGTTCACAACAGGATATTCCTCTATTGACAATCTATAACTTAGGTTTTCCTTACAATATCAGGTCTCTTTTGTTCTCTCCTAAATCCTTTCAAGCATTGATGGTCTTCGTACCACTTGTCCTTCCTCCCATAGAATTCTTTAGACATTGCCTACTTTAACACAATTCAATTACTTGGCTTCAATTCTCATGACTACTTGACTCACCTTTTGAGCACATGAAATTCAACCATTCAACAACTGTTCTCTTTCTTCTACGATATCAGGCCTACCAAACTCCCTCCTCTTAAGCCTTGTAAATCTGAGTTGTTTCAATTTTTCATCTATTTCTTTGATACCATCTCTTGAAGAAAGTAAAGCTTAGCTGTATATGCTACAACTAGTTGGCTCTTTTTTTTTTTTTGACCTGATGAATAACTGGCTAGTTTCCACTTGTTAATCATACTCAGATATCCAAGGACTACATTAATTCACTCCTTCACCTTACAAAACTTGATTGTTTACTTCTCATCAATTGAGATACAAACACTACCTGGTTCTCTTTTTAAGAATTATATGTTTTGATAATATATACGTACCACTAGTCCATCTTCCCCTGCAATACCTGGTCTACCTGGCTCTCCTCTTGGGCCCTGTAAACCATGCATGCCTTTGGGTCCTGGATGACCTGTATCTCCCTGAGTAGCATAGAGGAAAGGTAAATTTGATTAATATTTTAACTGTTTCTCAAACATCTAAAATAACTTTAATTCATCACATATTTTTACATAAATATTTGTTCTTAAATTCAATGTTTTGAACAATTTTATCTGTCAAAACCTTCCTTTGCCAAATAGTCAATATTACTCACTCCAGGGACACCAAGAGTGATGCTAGAACAATTTTAAGCTTGTTATTTAAAATTATAGCACACTAAAAGATTAATGTTTCACTTAAATGACTTTGTCTATAAAAGAAAAAAAAAGAATAAATATCTTGCACATAAAAAACAATTTATGTCTAACTATACACAATTTTCACCACAAAACAATATTACCTAATATTATAAGGTTATCATTAACCAACTCCATGGCTGCATGACCTTAAGGTGTATGTATTAAAGTTGCTCCCCCAGTGGCACAGCAGTAAGTCTGAAGTCTTATAATGCTAAAAGCCTGCTTTTGATAATCTTGGTGGACGCGGCACAGACATCCCATTGTGTGGTTTTGTGTTTAATTTCAACCAGACAAAGTATTAAAGTTATGTGGTTACTGTTTGTGTACATTCTGCTTTACTTGGCCAGTGAATGTCGTAAATTAATATATCCCCCATCCACTAAAATAAAAGAAGCTGCTCTAAAAAACTTAAGTGCTTTCAAAAGGTGGTACAATAGCTACAATAATTTGGGAAAAGTTTGTAGAGAGAACAACAAAGATTATATGATTGAAAAGAAAAGCATTTGTTGATTTAGTAAAAAATACTGGCTTAATATCTATAGAAAACACTAAAAAATAGTGCCATACTTTTATTCTTTAACCTATTAAAATATTTTCCTACAAAGTCTAGAAAAATTATAACACGGTAGAGTAATTCTGTTTTCTGAATAATAAGCTTTTGTTTGTCGTAAAGCACAAAGCTACACAGTGGGCTATCTGTGCTATGCCCCCCCTGGGTATCAAAGCCTTCAGACATACTGCTGAGCCACTGGAAGCCAAATAATAAGCTTAAAAAAAGGTAAATGTTAAACTCCACATACATGAAAATTTAAAAAATAGCAACTCATACACTTGACTGCATTTTTAAAGGGCACAGCAAGAAGTATGTTCACGATATTTCTCTATGGATGCTACAAATATAAAATGTGAAAATAGTTTAAAACCAGTTCATGCACAGATAACAAAACTAACACCAAATAAAAACAAAATTTAAATTGTAATGCAATTTCTTGTTAAAGTTAGTGTATGAGAGCATGTTTCCTTTAACATATTTTAATTTGTATATTTTCTTGTACTTCTTTTAATAGGATCCAATCCTACAAAATATAGTTATGTTTACAAATATCTCTTCAAATCAGTTTTCTGTTGCAACTTTCAATCTGTTCTCTTGATCTTATATGATTTATTTTACAAAATATCCATATAAAACAATCATTGCCATTCAAAGTTACTGTTTGGACCACAAAAATATATTTAACAAAAACATACGACTCTTTGCAATACTTAATCATAAAAATGTCATTAATGTTACAGATCTTTATTCTGAGTATTGAAAATTATTAAAATATATTATTTTATTACACTAATAGTTTTTGTCTTAAGATGCAAGTAGCTATTAGAATAACCAACAGCCGTCATTAGATTTTTTCATTTTATGGCATTCTATACAGCTTCAATACAGAAAGTTGTCCCATTGTTCCAAGAGATATTTTTGGGAAACCTAAACATCCTAATTTTAATTTTTCTCAGTAATCCCTAACTTATTTATACTTCTATTCAATACTGTGAACCTCTGACAACTGTAAATTAACAGCTACAAATTTTTTAAATGAAAAAGAGAAATTATCACACAACTTGTAAACATTGAGCATACCTGCTTCTTCCTCTATATCTGGCCATAAGGCA